GGTCTTTCTCCTGTTCTGATTTAATATCTATACCTGGTTCCATTTCACCATTATCAACTCCTGCGGTCACTTTGACTTCAACTTGATTACACCTGGCTAGCTCAACCACTCTTTTCACACTTACCAGAATTTGACCTTTTTTGTTCCCAAACGTCATTTTATCAAAATTAATTACACACTTCCTCGGTAGTAAGTAGTCCAACCCTAATATGCATTGGTCTTCAATGTCAGCCAAGTATACTTTGTGTCTGTCCTTCATGCCTATGAGCTCAGTAGTTACCCACACTGGTCCCCACAACCTTGCATAATGTCCTGTCACACCACAGAGCTTCTGTTTGGCTTCTGGTACTCCTTTGTGATCCAGCATCTTGATACTCACAAGGGTTTGCTGAGATGCAGAATCTATGACAAAGTTGCACTTTTGGCCATCCAGCTTTCCTGTCACGTAGACACTATGTGTACTTGCCATTTTACACTTAGCTGTTGGGAATTTCACGATGGGGGTTGGTGGGTGTCCATCAACACCAACCACTAATGGTATCCTTGAGGCTGACTTATTGGTAGTATTCTTTTTACTCTGGCTCCTCATATGTCCTTGCTCTCCACAGTTCCAACAACCTTTCTGGGTAGCAGCCTCTTCTGCCGTGACATTTTCCCTGTGTTGAAGTTTCAAGCATTAAGCTTTCTTGTGCCAAGGTTTGTTACAGTGCCAGCAAAGTCCCTCAAACCTCTCTGAAAGCTGACATTTTTTCACCTTGAATTCTGATGGCTGTACCAACCTTGGTACCTCTGTGCTGGACTTAACATAGGATTCGAATTCAAGAGCTCTGGCCATTGCATCCTTCATAGTAAAGGGGTATGCTTGCTTTACTTGTATCTTCAATTGTGGACTGTCCAAGGCATCTACAAACTGATTCCTCAGCAACAACTTGAGGACATCAGGTGACACAGTTGGGTAGGCCTTGTGTGCCATAGTTTCAAAATCCTGTGCCAACTCTTGCAGGCTCTCCCCTTTAGCATGGACTCTCGTCCTAAACCTAGCCCTGTAAACTTAGGACTGATTTTGAGTTTCATACCTGAGTTCTAGAGCCGCTACCAGTGCTCTATAGTTGTGCCTGTCATCTGCTGACAACTGTCCAAGTATTCCCA